CCACCTAATTAGCAGTTTAGCCCTGCCCCGTACAGTCTAAGATTATAAGAAGTTTCAAGCCTGTACTGCTTTTTGAATGAGGCATAATACAGAACATCCACTCAGAACTGAGGTCATTTACATAAACCAGCCTTAAAAGCACAATAACAAAACAGGCTGTTTAGTTCTAAGGGATAGAAAATGGTCATGTAAAACTGAATCACTTGTTTTTGGTACACAACCCAGCTTAACTACACTGGAAAACATAAAAGAAAAATGTAGGATATGGACCCTTTTAATGTCTTCACTATTATTTTTAATTGTGGAAAATGGTACAGAGAAAGCAGCGTGTCCAAACTTTTGTTTGATACTATAAACACTACACTGTAACCACAATATGAAGGTGCATTCGTACCTAAGCATTGCTTGGCAGTGCAAAGGTGTTCCATATCAGTCCAAGTTGATGGCTATTAGGGTTGCAACGAACAATTATTTTGATGGTTAAATAATACACCAGTTATTGTTGAGAAATTTTGTATCATGACGACTAACGATCAGTGAATTGAAGAGAAAAACTCCTCTCAGTACAGAAGCAGAGAATATTTTGGATTAGACTATATGAAAGACCGCACTCACACCACTACTGTGGAGTTAACAGACATTTTATTACCGTTGCCACAGGAATACCATAAAGCTTCTCCCCATCCTCATTTTTTGCTTTGTCCCTATATCTGTGGATTAATGCTGTCCCCATTCCTGTGCAGCTCTCTAGTATGTTCAACACCATTCGCAATTCAGTGATCAAAAGAAAACGTATTTCAAACTGGAGAACATTACAGCTCATAACCAACTTTGTTGACAGCTAATTTGGTCATTGATTTCAGTCAACTACACTGGTTATTCTTGGCATCCTAATGGCTACGTTGTTCAGCACACAAGACGACTGACTGTGGTGGCTTCTGCTTTTTGTATTAACTAGAACATTACAAGAACAAGAGATAGCAACAGCCGCGTGGATTGAAACACAGACTGAGTCTAGTGATGAAATGTACTGACCTTCCTCACACTTCAGACATTTTGATCACATTCATCACTTAAACCCAGCCAGTGACTAAGCATACCTTCACGTTGTTCACATCTTTTAGGTTATGTAACATTTGCCTTTTCCGATAAGGAAAGAGCAAGAGACCTTATGAGCCCGTTTCCCAGAGCCAGCTGGAGCCCAAGTCTTTTTTTATAGATTTTTTCTGGGGAAACACTGTTGGCCTTGCAAGACTAAGACTAATCAATACCAGAGACCAGCCCTAGGAATTTAGTATTATGCAACAAGAAAAGAATAAAATATTCAAATGATCATTATATCAATATAGAGAAAATATGAAGAAGTAGTCTGATGATTGTGTAATTGTTGTGCACACTGCTAGGGGTCTAAAGATTTGCAAAATTCATATTTTGTTTAAATATCATATACTGATTTCTTAATTCAAAACAACAGGAATTGCCTGAAATTTGCCATATGTTAAACATATTTTTTTCCGTGTTCAGTTGGTTAGAGCACCCAACATTTATAGAAGTCTTGTAATTGAGCAAGTATAACATACAGCAAAAATTAAGAGTGCCTGGAAGTGTGCCTGATATTAATATGTATACTTTCCATTCAGCATTATAAAAATACAATATATGTTTGAGGATTATAGAAGGATATGGTGGAGTTTTTGATCCATTCTTGAGTTTTTATCCATTCTGGTTGGTTTGTGGTCTATAGTGCCCTCATCTAAGGTGCTAGCCTCAAGCCAACACAGTAAACAACAATACAAAATGACACAGTATGAAACTTTTCAACTTTTTAATCCGATACAGTGTATTTTGTCAAGGCTGAGTTTAAGAATGAACCCTCTGCTGCTTAGGGTTAATATTTATGACAGGAGAGATTGCAAATTCGATCCCTAGTGATTCCACAGCTGTCCATGGCTGGAAGTCCATGAGAGCATAATTGGCTTTTCTGTCTCTGAGTGGGTAGGACGGTTCTCTCTCCCCCGTCGCTTTATGTGATGCAAGCCAGCGTGGGCATCTTTTAGCTGATGTAACAAAATTGGCAGTTAGCATTCTTCTCCAAGCATGTTGAGCTGTTCAGTAGGGGTTGCACAGCTACTCATTTTTACTAGCTGACTAGTCATTCAAAAATGTTGTCAACTAGTCGTCAATACCACATTGAAGAAACGTGAGTGTTCTGGACATCTGTGAAAAGTCTTTTGTTAAAAGCTTGCTAAGGCTGCATTCAAATTACAAGCCTCATTGCTCAAATCTGATTTTTTGCTCAAATCCGATCTCTCTGACATGATGGGTCACACTCGTTTAGGTACTCGTAAGTGATTTAAATCTGTCATTAATGTGAACGAACCATCCTGAAATGACTCACATGCGCACATCCTACTCAGTAACATCAAGTGAATGAATCACATGCGTCACGTGCATCATCAGCAAACGAAACTACCAAGCAGAACGAGCCTTCGCTGCGAAGATGATTAACTCTGATCAGCTCTCAGCTGTTCATTATTAGAATGAGACAAAGGCGAAAAATGTGAAATGAGTTGCTTTTCCACCTTTTAGAGGCTTTAACAGATGTTCGACGCTGCTGCCATGGTAACGCTGATTGATGGAGCACGTGCAGTGGAAAAAAAGCACATGAATTCCGATCTGAGCGTTCACACTAAGGTCGCATGGTCACGAATAAGATACGCATCCGATCTAGGACCACATATGAAAGTGGCTCAGGTTGGATTTGAAAAGATCAGATTTGCATGTCTACACGAGGTGACGTAACCCCAAGTGTCCAGTGATGTCATATTAGTGGCAGTTCAAAAACAATGTGGTAACTGGTTTTACATAACTCTCAAGAGACAACAGAGTTTGGGAAATGAATTACGTAAAAAATAAACATTGGTAGTAATTTATTGATTTCCCGAAAGAAATTTGAGTCATCTTGGTCGTTATATCAATAACAGCAACGATTACGCTTCTATAAGGAATCATGCTGAGAATTTAAACATTGCGGTGTTGTATCATCAGCATTCGTCTAAACCATCATTAGATTAATCATGCAGGAAATGTCTATTGACACTCACCTCGAAAACAAAATGGGGGAAAAAAGAGTGAAGTGGAAACGAAAATCTTGACTTGCCCAGTTAAGGCGGTGGTTTCGGCCAAGCCCCCATTGTGCAGTCCCATTAGTAGTAAAGTGGATTTACTGTGTGTGGTTTGGTGTTGAATGTGCCAGGGCATGTTGAGACTTGGAATTTTCTAGAGAAAAAGACTGACGGTAAGTATGCATAAACTGTGCCAACATCATGTACAATTCAGTATTTGCATAACCTTTCAGTAAGTTATTGCCTCATCTCAGCCTTTCTAAAGCCACATCTTTTCCTTCATTTGCATCCGGTTATATACTGTATATTCTGATTAATGTTCAGTGATCACACCTTTTAGATAACTTATGGTCCAAATACAAATGTTCTACTTTATAAAAATAAAAGTTTTTAAAGTTTTGATACTGTTTATTTATTCAGCTTCAATTAAATTAGGCTTTTCCCCTCCCTACCAGTTTTATTTTTTTGTAATGTACCTTTTATTACGTTTTTGTTCTGTAACACAATTAGTGCCAATTACACAAATTCAGAACACAACAAAGCGAAACAAAAATTCTTATAATGAACCAGAGGGAAGTCTCTCTCTCTCTCTCTCTCTCTCTCTCTCTGTGTGTGTGTGTATATATATATATATATATGTGTGTGTGTGTGTGTGTGTGTGTGTGTGTGTGTGTGTGTGTGTGTGTGTGTATATATATGATATATATATTTATGTGCAGATCCTATCTTTTTAAAGTTGTTTTACATTATAGTGGTAGTGTTTCCTACAGATTTGAAATATAGTGTGGTGCTTAGATGGGAAGTCAGGGGCAGGGGGAGACACCGACTTTAAAATGTAAATAAAAATTTATAATAACTTTTTACATGTACACACAGACTATGTAAGTTTGTCATTTACATGCAAATACTAATCACACTATGACTTCATTTACAGGCCTAATGTATGTCTTTGTCTTCTTTGAGCACTTTGTGAAACTATACTGTCACATAAATATATGGAGCATTCTTCCGAATTAGTCCAACCTCAGTCCCACAGTTAAAAAAAAAATCTATTTAAAAAAACCAATGAATTCGGATCTTAGATATTTACACTGATTGATATGATTGATTTAAACCCATGACATTCATTGGGATAGTTATAAGCTATATATATATATATATATATATATATATATAGTTTATAACTATCCCAATGAATATAATTATATAATAATTATATAATAATAATAATCCCCAATGAATATAATTATATATAATTTTCACAATTTTTTTAATTTACTTTTTATTAAGTAGATGTATTTTACATTTTTAAAATTTATTTTAAAGTTATGTTGAAAAACGGACGGTCAGACCTGCTGCCTGCCTGTCTCAGCGAATAATGTCTTTTACATGAGTATCCACTGCTGCAGTGACCAAAAGGCATTTTTCTACAGCCATTTCTTTTGACTGCAGAGCACTTTTCTCCTCCTTGCACAGCTAATATTTCTCAATATTAATTTGTTAAATAAATATTAGCCATTATTTCCAGTTGAAATAAAGCAAATTCTTGTCAGGACAACTTTGCCAGTTATGTGCAGTAGCTAGCTAATATTAGGTAAGTGGGACTTACTCTCCTGCTGTCACCTTTGCTCTCTCTCTCCCCCTCCCCTAACCTAGGCCGTGTTCATGTTTGTTTTTTTTTTTTTAAATGGTCAAAATATACTTTGGCAGATGTCCATATAACCTAGGTGTGGAAAACAGTGTAATGTATATTATGTGTGTTAGCTTTGTGTAGTGCATACATAAATATCACCTCTGTTGAGTAAATATGAGTGCATGAATATTGTGCAAATAACTTGCTTTTTGTATATTGTGGTATGTTGTGGTTATATGCAGGTTGAGGCAGCTGCAGCTGAACTCTGACAGTAGGGTGTCTGAGCTGCAGAACCAGATGAAGCTGAAGGCTTTTGAAGTGGAGCGCGCCCAGATGGTTCAGGAGGAAACGGCAAAAAACCTCAGCCTCTGCCAGATAGAGTGCGAGAGGCACCAGAAGAAAACTGGAGGCAAGTGGCTTTCACCAGTGAACTTAGGCTACACTATGGGATGTGGATCTAGCTGTTCAGATCTTGAGGTAGCCAAGCATAGTTTGTGGTCGGATATGTGTGCATGTGTAAACATAATGCGGCACACTTGGTTACATTCACGGACTAATGGCACATGCACTCCATTTCCCCCTTTAGTATTCTTTTCCTCGCTCGTTAAACAGATAATTTTTAGCTGTTTGTACGTGTAGGTTTACAAACGTCAAAGTTGAAAAGCCATTTGCCACCCATACATTATTCTATCAGTTCTCCCACTGCTCCTGGCTGGATATTAAGCCATATCTTTTTTTTTTCCAACTGTGCTGCAGTTGAAGCAGTTGACTGCTAAGCAAAACGTCCATAAATCGCTGTCTTTTCTTTCTCTGTAACTTTATGTCTGGAATGCTCTGCATCACAATTTCAAAATGATTTATAAAGCATTAAACTCCACCCACTCTGCTCTGGCACCATGCCAGCCTGATTTAAATCATGCAGGGAAATGAGATCTTGGTATCGATATCTGGATGCAGGAGTTAAGTTTCAAAAGGGCAAGTGTAAACATGCTGTGTCTGGATTGAAATATTATCTGATGGCTGGATGTAAACAATATCTACATGTCCAAAAGTTTGTTTCACCTTCTCATTAGGGCTGAACGATTTGAAGATAATGTTTAAATTTTGTAAAAAGGCTACTTACATGAAATGTCTTAAATGTGTTTAAGTGCTGTTTTTGTAAACCAGTTAAGCACTTTTAAAAAGGTGTTTACGTTTATTTCACACCTTAAAACGGTGTGAGCTGCATTTTGAATGTGTGTGGCCAGACCCGGCATGATCTTGTAACGAGAACATCTGGAGACAGCCCTGAGAAATTATGGGCTAAATGCCTGTTGTTAGCTTGTGGATGTAATACATTAAATGGCCAAAGCTGTGTAGCCTATATTATGACAATAATGACAGTAGTTATTAAAACAACTTTACCGGATACCCAGAAAAAGATTTGGTCCAAAATAACAACTTTTCCACTGTGGCTGGCCTACTAGCCTATTGATGTTATTTAGAGCTGTTAACTACAGGTTAAGGCTGATATTCATAACTAGGCGAAATTAGCGACCGTTTGCGAGCTAATGCTCAAGTTTGAGCCTTGCGACTCTAGGACACTGTATTTTAAGGGTTGTCACCTTGTTGTTTTGAGTTTCATTATTACCTTTATTCATTATTTCACTCTTTAAAAAATCCCATACATGTACTTGTAGACTAGCAATGTACAACAAATAAGATTAGTATGCTTTAAGTGAAAATTCTGTGATGTTTTCAAGGAGATTCATTTGATGTGGATTTTCAGTCCATCACAGAGCATTATCTGACTAAATAAGGGTATAAACTCCCTTCCTCCCTTTTAAAACAGTGATTAAACATGTTGTTGTAATAATGCTTCCAAGTTGGTGTCTTTCTTTCTGGCAGGTTTTGACAAAGGAGTTTTACGCGCTGCAGGCGTCATCAGAGAAACGCATTGCCGAACTTCAGTCCCTTAGTGCCGAGCAGGAGAAGCGCCTAGAGATCTATGAGAAGCTGGAGAAGGAGCTGGATGACGTCACCATGCAGGCAGCAGAAAGTGAGGCAGCAGATGTATAATCAAGTTTACTACCAACTAGCTTAGATTTTATGAGCAGCGAGGAACGCTGATTGAGAAATAACAGTTTGGAGACATGGCTTGATATTGTTGATATTGTCTATTTGTTTATTTTTTGATGTTGTTGTTGTTGTAGTAGTAGTAGTAGTAGTAGTAGTAGTGGGTATTTTCCTTGTTGTTTTATAGCCCTATTAATGTGTCAACACAAAGGATCTTTCTCAATGTAAATTTCTACACTACCTTTTTAACTAGCTGGTGAACACTGAGCATTGCAGCATGAAGTCTAAAGCAGAAATAAAAGCAGAAATAAATAACCAAATTCACAGTACTAACTTTGTTAAACAATGGTTGCGTTCAGCTATTACAATTACACACAGTTTTTCATTTACAAGACGATGTAACTATGTCAATTACATGCAACTATTAAAAACACTAAGACTTTTTTAGTTTGTCTTTACAGCAGTGGTCACCAAACCTCCTCCTAGTCCTGCATCTATCCCTTACCTAACATTAAATGTCATCGGAACTAGACTCAGGAAGGTAGATCTGCAGGAACCAGGTTTGGTGACTGCTGTAGAGCATCGCTGCTGTGTTGTTATTTGAGCGCAAGTAATGTTTATAGTATAGTATAGTATGTAGCAGGGGTGTTTAATTAAAATTCAGTAAGGTCCACTTAGAGAAAATTTCCTCAAGCAAAGGTCTGGAACATCATTATGTTTAACTTGCATTATGATTCAGTGCCATATACTGTGTAATAGTAGTTTATACTAAATGTAGTGCAGTTCAGTAATATTTCAACAACATTTATTGTCAGTTTTCTCTTTTTAGAGCACACCATGTGAAATAACTTCTCTCCGGCTCACTCTCTTCTCCGACTGCTGTTTCTCACCTCGTCCCTCCCCTGTGTGTGCCTCACTCACTCGAGTCGCAGTACTCATTGTTATGCACAGATCTGATTGGCTGAGTAGCATCACGCGTGATATGTACAACGCATACAATTGGTTTGTGAGTTTCCCGGGCTGCTAAAGCTACCATAAAGGCTAGAAAAGTTACGCCGATTAAAATAGGACCACCCGGTCGAAATTAAATGGTTCTTCATAGTTTATCGGTTATAGGTCCAGGTCCGCACAGGACAGCGTCTGGGTCCGGACTCGGACTGCGGTCCGCCTATTAGTGACCTCTGGTATACAGTATACTGAAACTATATGCAGAAATATATAGAAGAAAAATGAGATGGTTTCACCTGCTCCCTAGCTCAGTTTTTATCATGTATTTTTGTCAGCACTGTAAAAGATGATTTAGATCTGATTCTGAGCCTTTTTGCTCCTGTAGGTCACACTACAGCCTACCAGCCATTTTTTGGTAGCTCTGCAGGAGAATAACAGTGAACTGAATGGTTTAATGACTGACGGAAGAAACCATAATCAAAAGGGGTAATGCAAACCAGTTAAATGCTGTATTTGAATGCTGCTGCTGCAGTTGTATCAAAAAGTTGTAGTAAGACTGTGCATCATTATGCATGACCAGTGTTTCCCACACATAGCGTATACTTTGTCACTGCACCCTGGTATTTGGACACCCCCCCTAGTATATTTTGACTCTTTTAAACTGGAAAAAAAAGCATAATAATGTAATAATATGACATAAAAAGGTTATAAATCCAAATTCATGTCTGAACATCTGTAGACAGTAATTGTGAATATTGAGAAGTTTCATAAGAGCATTGCTGCTTCTCTGTCTATGGGAAATAATAATTTTGCACACATACAAAAAATGAACTTCTAGATACGTGCAGTTTCTTCTGACTGGATTTCAGTAAGATTCAGTAAGATTCTAAGTCTCTCAGCCTAATGAGCATAAAATTGCTTTTCTGACATTATGAATTTGCTCACATGAGGATACCTGAGCTATGAGTTTCTTCTCCTCGCTCAGCTTCTTATTAAAAGATTTCTTAATACTCACCTGTAAATGTTAGATGAATGTTAAATGAAATATTAGATGAATCAGTGGTGTAACTGCAACCAGGCATTATTTTAAACTAACAGAAAACAAATTCAGCTGGGACAACTTTGTTAGTTACATGTAGTAGCTAGCTATCTAAATGCTGGTGCTGCTCACACTCTTGCTGTCTCCTTCACTCTCCCCTGACCTGAGCTGTGTTCACGTAACAGTCAAATTCAGAGCCTGTTTCCAAAATAGATTAATAAAAATGTTTAACTATTTTAATAGTCAAAATATACTAGGGTGGGTGTCCATTTACTGGGCCACAATGCCAAAGTATAACCTATGTGTGGGAAACACTGGTCATGCATAATTATCCCCTGACATGTTGATATTGGTGTAGCAGCAGCATTTAAATACAGTGCTTTACTGGTTTACATTACTTAAGTCATAAAATTGCAAAACACACTGTCCAGAATAAAAATAATAAATTGGCTGATTGCACATCTGGAGAAATAATCAGATTTTTCTCCAAAACTAATTAGTTGTTTCCGCTACCAATCAGATACTGACCGTGAATCATCTTCCTAGTGAAAACTCAGGCTGTTGTAACAGAGGGGCCACTTTTTCGTTATTGTTTTAAGAGAGTTTCAGACCCGACTTGCCCTTTTAACAGACCACAGTCTGAGTCAGGTAGAAAGCAAAACTGATTCAGAAATTTCTGCTCCAGTATAGTTTTTAGTGTGTTCCTGAGGCCAAATCCAAAGTCATGCCTGAACACCTATAGACATTTAACTTTTAATCCCTGCAAGTTTCATAAGAGCATTGCAACATGTCTGTCTGTAGAAAATAATTGCTACAAAAATAATATATCACTCATGCAAATGTACAGTGGTGTAGAACAGATTAATTCTTCATTCATCTACTAAATCAGTTGCTAAACAGCATTGATGCACTGTGTGTCCAAAAATGTGTAGATGTCTGTTCATCCAGCGTTTCTTCTGAAATCAGGGAGGTTGCCGCTACTTTACACAGGAGTGTTTGTGAGGTCAGGTACTGATGATGGATGATTAGTTGGATGATTAGTTGTTGAATTAAATAGTACAGAAGTTCATTTTATTCCAGGCAAGTGATAATTTTCCAGCTATTGCAGAATTCAGCTTTGACTTTTGACTCTTGTAACACATGCTTTCAGTTCCATTTCATCTTTCTTTTTCACATTCCATTAAATCACTTTTTAAAGGACCTATTTTGAGTACTTCTGCACTTACTCTAAGCAGCAGATAATGGTTTATTAGCTTAGCTGACATCTCCCCTCTGGTCTTCATGGTGGGTGGTCTGAGAGATGTCCAAACACTTAAGCACTCTTTCTTTACCTTTTTTCATTCTTTTTTTTTCTTTTTTGTTTGTAGTTGAAAATGAAGAAGAGGCTGAGAGGGTGCTGTTTTCATACGGTTATGGAGCGAATGTGCCGACGACGGCCAAGAGGAGACTGAAGCAGAGGTGAGAATGGAGGAGGTCGTCGTTCTGCTGAAAGCAATGCTTTAATGGGTCATTCTTGCGCTGAAGGTTAGGTTTAGATACCTTTGCATATGTTTTTTATACTAACCATGATCGCAGGGATGCAGGGAAGTGTTTTGAGTGCTAATTTTAGACAGCATGTAAGTGATGTACACAGCAAATTTCATGGCAATTTTTGGATAATTTTCATTAAATACAATGTACGCTTATAATAATGTTGGACATCAAACTACAGATGTACTACCTGCTCACTTTACTCTGTTCTTCTGTGCAAACTTTATATCAGACCACTGTGCACGAGACAGGGTGGCAGCTTTGGGGCGTAAAACTGGCTTATAGCTCCGCATACACTTCGTCTTACTTGTGTTTTAGTGACACTCCCCCATTTAAATTTTTTTTTTTTTCCGAATTATTTATAGCAGTTAGTAGCCCTCTCAGCACCCCTCCATCCCGCATACTTGCATGATGATGTTTTGTGTTTATATTTACCAGTTAACTCTATTGCCATTGTGTGGCATCACTGGTGTTGCACAAAAATGTAGCATCATGGAGAGAAATAAATTTCAAAAGATGTTTAATTCTTCAAAAATAGCTCAGAGACTGCCTCAGATCCCAGATAAGCTATTGAGTTAGCAGAGCTAACGAGTAACACTGGATGCTGATGGAGATTCGCCGTCCTCTACAGGTGTTTTTTCTCCTCAGTGCCAACACGAAAGTTTGGTCAAGAAATATATTAACTGCTTCTGGACCTAACATCAGTCTAGCTAAAAGATAAAAGCCACGCTATCTCTGCCTTCTCAGTCATCCTTGGCAATACGCCCGTCTTAAGCTTTATATCAGACAAAGTAACAAAGTAAGATGTAACGTACTTACTCACAAATATAAGCAAATGTTATATTGTGTGGGTACTTGAGTACACATCCCTAATCTATACTTGCATTTGTCTGTTTGCACATGTGATACGTGTGTGTGTGTGTGTGTGTGTGTGTGTGTGTGTGTGTAGTGTTCATCTGGCTCGAAGAGTTCTGCAGTTGGAGAAACAGAACACACTGCTGAGGAGAGACCTAGAGAGACGCTCTGCCCACACAGAGCAAATCACTGAAGAGGTACTGATCTCAACTGTTCTGTCTGTGTGTCTGTCTCTCTCTATGTCTGTCTGTCTGTCTGCCTGTCTGTCTGTCTGTCTCTTTCTCTCACTTTTTCTCCCACTTTTTCTCCTTTATTCTTGCTCTCTCTCCCATTCTCTCTCGCTTCCTTTTGCACTCTCTTTCTCTCTCTCTCTTTCTCACACACACACACACACACACACACACACACACACATTTGTAGTGAAATAGCTGCTGGAGTCTTTAATATTCATTCGTCATTTCTGAGCAGTGAAATCACAGATTCTGTCTTTGTTGTTCATTCTCTCGTTCATTCATGAGTAGTGGAATCATCTTCAGTGTGCTTCATACTGTCCTGTGCTGACACTTTTTTGGAAAATAGTCAGCATTGATTGAGCATTTCTAGATGTTATGTGTAATATGAGATTAAGTTTCCCTCTCTCTCTCTCTCTCTCTCTCTCTCATCTCTCTCTCTCTCTCTCTCTCTCTCTCTCTCTCTCTCTCTCTCGGCTGTAAGTATGTTTTTGTCAGTAAAGACACTGCATATAATTTCAGTACAACATAATAAGAATGTTTTGAAAAACTTATTGATTACTTAAAAGTTATTGATTACTTAAGAGTTGGAAGAACACTGGTTTGATTCCTGCATTCTAGTGTAGATTTTTTGTGCAATTAAGTGCTTACTGCCCAAATAAAGGACTTTATATTTCGCTTTCATAGATGCATGAGACTTTTGGCACAGTACTGTATACTGTACTATTAAATAACATTATGTCCTGCACATCACAAAACGTTCAGTTTCAGTTCCAGTCAGTTTTATTTGCATAATTTGTCTCTGTAATGTCACACAGCTAAAGCACACAGATAACCACAGTCAACTGCCTCTGTTTGCTGAATTCATGCAGAAACTCCCTAAAGTGCCCACGATGAGTCCGCCAGATGTTATCATCCTCTGATTTTTTTGAATCTTCACTCCTCACTTACTGAATTTTTCTGTCACTGTAATTTGTATTTATTTGTGATTAACAGATTAAGTGTGTGTTGTGCTACTCAGATGACTTCATTTCAAAGTTTTCTGCGACTGTTGCAATGTTGCCTTTCTTTTCCTTTAGTGGGCTACACAAAAAATGGCTAGCAATAAACAGAGAGAGAGAAAGATAAGAAGAGTACTTGAAGCTTAATAAGTTGTCTGCATCACTTTGCTTGCATTGGGTTAAACTTATCACCTCCAGTGAAAAGTTTAATGTGAAGACTCATCCACCTGCACAAACAGCATAGTCACTGTTTCTGGGGACTTTTAATAAGAATGTTTTAGGACAGAGCTGCTGTTTTGGCATCAGGTAATCTCTTTAGAGCAGATGTGCTCAAACTTGGAAGGTCGAAGTGCCTAGTTTGGTGTAGGCTAAGGGCCAGAAAGACACAACAGAGTACAAATATACAAGGTAGTTAGGTTTCAAATGAAGCTTTTTCCAGTGTATTTTATAACATTCCAACATATTTTGTAACTAAAATACATTATTTTTTTTACTATGTAAGTGTTAGGGATTTGGAGACCTCTCTGGTAGAAACATGTAATTGAATGCAACATGAAGGAGAACACATTTTAACATCAGTTGTGCTTCGGACGAAGGTCTGTCTTAACTCAAACTCAACTCTTTGTCTAAACTCAAATTAAGCCAGATCTTTTTGAGCCTGTGCGTGTGACGTTAATAGGTAAAGAAACGTGACGTGGTCCGGTAAACTTTCGCCAAATCCAACCCCAATGCCCCTGACTTTTAAAGTATTATTTCAGGCTTTACAGGGTGACTCTGCAGCGCCTGCACACCATTTTTGGGGTGTTTTTGTCCTCCTGACTTAGTAATGCTACTTAGTATAACATTTACATCATATTTTGTTACTTAATACTTATTAGAAATGTAAAAAGCTGCATGGTGTGGAAATTCCATGTTGTGATTTAATGCTATATTAAAAACGTTAGCCCTTGAAGTTCATCTGATATCAAAATTTATCTTTTTTCCTGGTCACATTAAGCAAACTTAATCACGTAATTGTACCAAATTTGTGTTTTCCCGTAATCTTTAATTGACTTTTTCTTACCTTTAAAGCTCCCCTGAGTTTTAATTATGTCACAGTTTACCAGCAGGGAAAATATTAATCAGTGAGATCACATATCATCTTCCCCTTGTATCATCTAGCTCAGAGACCCCCCCAATGCTATGTTTCAGTCAGCAATATGCCACGGTATTAAAGAAAAATGTTTTTTTAATTTCTGATTAATTTTGACTTAAAGATTGGACTTCAATGCTTCCGACCAGTACTACTGTTCAAAAGTTTGGAATCATTGTAAAAGTTTGGAATCAATGTTTTCAGTAACCACTTTGATTGCAGACAAGTGTATAAAATGAGCTAGTAATCTGTAACTAAAAAATTAATGTTGTACGTGCCCAGATTAATGAACACAGCCATAGATTCTAAAATGACAGAGAAATATGTAACATTAGGAAGTTTTCATATTCATCATATTTCAAAACTGGAAATCAAATCTTAAGGAAAATAGAAAATGAAAATATGTTTTTTGTTTTTGTATTTACTTCTTCACAGAACTCTTCAATATTAAACCAAATATCTAGAATCTGTTCACCTTGAATACTTTGAAACATTTAAAACTGGCTTGTATATGTTATTGTACAGTGGTGTCCAAATTACGTTTTGTTGTAGTTTCTAAGTGAAAACAAGTAAACAAACTTAAATATGGCATTTTTTGACAATATATTGGAAAAAAGTAAATATAAAATGTGCCATAACTTTTGCCCCAGGCCACACTTATTATTTTATTTTTTTAATTGGCGACGAGACAGTAATTGAGTATTAAAGTGTGCTGTCTGTAGAGGATGTGTTAACGTTTCACTTAGAAAATCAATCAACAAAACATAATTTGACCCAAAGTTTTGCCCAAACATTTACATGGCAAGTGAATGTTTTAACGTTTAAATGTTTTAGGTATGTCAGATCATGACAATGCCTCAATTCATTTAAACACCTAAAGAATATGTGGTCAGGATGCTAACAGTAAAACATTTGCATACTTCAGCTTTCTGTGATATCAGTGTTACAGACACTAGAATCATAATTAAAAACGAACAAGCCCCAGATCATCATTAATGTTTGTGGATTGACTGTGAACGCAGCTTTAGCTTCAGAGAGAGACTATGCATTTAACTGAGAGTGCTCTGTGTACCTTCTGTGTTATTGCACGTTTTTAATTTGTTCCCTTAAGCACTAAGACACTATTAACTCTACCGCTGACACTTTTCAGGGAGTCTCATGCCCTTTGATGTGGCGTACCTCTGACATTTACCCTTCCTCACGACTCTGTGCCTGTAAAGGAGTTGCCCAGAGTCAACTTGGACGGAGAACTAATGCAAGTCGACACTTGTTGCTCTCCTACAGCACTGCTCGATTCTCTGGGTTTATGTTGTGCCCTGTGTTATGATTTGAGAATTTGAGAAGGTGGAGATGGCCTTTTTTTTTTCAGTGCACATAAAACATAATGATAGATTGTTGCCAAGGCAATTATTGTGTCCTGTTATGCAATGCGCTCTTTTAGGTATGAGAGCGTTCTCAACAAGAAGATGCTGATAGCGCGAGCACTTGTTCCCGCACACTAGGGTAATCGTCAATGGCCAGAGGGAGGAATAGGTAATTGCTTCTTTTAAAAACGAGCAGTGAAAGAACTTGGCTGACACTTCAGCACTTTCTGCTCTTCTCAGGTGCAACACGTGAGCTGCAAGAGAGCTTAAATAAAAAAAAGAAAAAGAAAAAAGCTGCATCAGGAGAAAGGATCGCAGCCAAGCACAACTGTCATGCTCGATATTCTCACAAAGAGCCTTGTTTAAGCACTGTCTGTGTTGACATGTTGTATTTTGCCCCAACCTTCATGTTGTGTTTACATAGCTCACGTTTACCCAACACGTGACCAGTCCCTTTTTCACCTTGTCATGAGCTCTTGTCCAATCAGACGCACTCTCTGCATAATCTTTGGCTAATGGGCTTCAGCTGATGCAGTGAAGGGCGGGCGCTGCCAAACTGGCCTTTCGGTTGTGGGCTGTAATTGATTGGCATTTTGTGTGATTCATTCTTCAACTGAGAGTTTTATACATTGCTCACTTTACCACTCATGCGGGCTTGTCCCCACCTCCAGAGACAGCCAGATCTGTCTGTTATGGTCATGTATTACTGAAGTTTCTTGCCTATCAGTTGAAATTTCCCCATAAAGGGTATAATTGCGTATCATCATACATTGAAGACAGTTATGAGAGGCATTATGATACATTGGGCTGATGACATTTGATTGGAACATTTTTGTACAAGCTTGATTAGCAAAAGACAAATTACAAATACAAAACGATTTAACTATACGTATTTAAAGATACATTCCATAAGTTTTGGGTATTTGGACAGTCATATTTCTCAGCCGGTAGCAATTGAATGTTTTATTTGTTCTAGTTGCAGACAGCCAATCAGCTTCTTCAGCAGTCCCAACAGCCATACAGTTACCTAATAGAAACGGTTCGTCAACGGGACACGCAGATCCAGTCACTGAAAGAGCGCCTCTCACAGCTAGAGGAGGAAGTGAGGTAAGCATGCACAATAGTAGCCTTGATTTAAATGTCTGACATGCCTCTTAGCCCATCACAAGCTGCTATTTTTGTGGAAGTGAAGAAAAAACTTTATCAATTGAAAGATAAACTCTGACAGAACTCCACATTCGCATACGACTGTATGTCTGTGTGTATCTTTGCCTTTGAGGAAAAAAATTCAGTATGTGCTCATCATTTCCAGCTTAGCTGTTGTAATCTGGGAAACCGATAAATGAAAGTTCATAGCTGTTATTCTTTCAGCAGTTAAACCGCCTTGCTATTGTCAAAAAATGCGTTTAATAAGGTAGTGCAAACAAGGAATGTTTCTAGTACATTGCGTCTCTTCTTAGGAGCTCTCCAAAGGCTGCACTTACAGTAAGAAGCTATTTGCATTTCGTGACATCACTGTTTATGTCTTGTTTGGACACAGGCCCAGCAAACTCATTTGTCTGTAAGGTAATGCCTGTTGAAACAGTGCAAAGCTGATAGACAACTAAAAGCATGTCTGTCAGCTGTAAGAACTTAATCGAACAAAAAAATGGCTAGTTTTTTCACATATGTGCAACTTTGACAGTGTGATTACAATTTGGCTTTGGTTTAAAACAGAAAGAAATAAGAAGTAGTATGTTGCTCCACAACTGGGAGAGACCATTGATGCCTTATTGCCCTCTCCAGAGCCAGTCGTAACTGGTCAGGTAACTGCAGTATCATGGCCTGTGCCAGCTGATTTCTCACATCATTCACATTCACCTAAGATCATTTTAGGTCACCATTTTTAATATTAAAAAATAAAACATTATGCTACTAACCACTAAGCTTGTTATGCTACCGATAACAAAAGTAAGGATAACAGTGCGTTTTCAATAAAAGCAGCTAATGGTTGTAATAAATGCTTAAAAATTATGTTAAGACTCTATTGGAATTATTCCAAGGTTATGACATTATTTAAGGGGTTTTTGCTGAAGGGAACCCTCAGGGCCTTCTGTGCTGAGAAGGCTTAATTATGTCATTTTAGTTCATTATTATTTAATAGAATCATGCTTGTTTTTATTTCAACTTTCCAAGTTTTGTAGTACCAGTTTTGGTTGGAAACGGTTATAAAAAGGTTATAATCAGGAGTTTTTTTCTTTGTGCTGTTATAAACACTTGATCTTGACCCTGTTCCTACTTCAGTCTTTAAGATGATTTTTTGATTGTGTTCAAAATGATGTTTTAACTGTTGTAAACTGTTGTCTGTCAACGGGTGCTGATAGTCATTGGGTGTCCCCTTTTTTTGGTTTCTGTAATGCTCATTTTCTATCTGGATTTTAGGTCATGAAAGTTAGGCGATGTTATTCTGTAATATCCCTGCACTATGAATGAGATCCTAACTGAAATTGTAGTTAGCCTGGTCTTAAGGTGTTTCTATAATAAAGCCCCAGCTTGGAACAGTGTAGGGGTAATTATAGAAAGATTCCATAGGCAAATGAGGTGGAGAAATGCATTTGATTTCAAATACTCCTTTATTATTTCTTCATCTCTTACACAAGCTCATTTCCTCACCTCCTTCCCTTGCTATTGCCTGTTCTTTCGGCAAATTAATGTAGACACGTCTTCTCATGTGCTTCCCAAGCTTAATGGGCCATGCTGGAGGGTAGAGAACAGATTGTGTTTTTTAAACTAAAGAAACAGCCTGCTAGTTCAAGCATTTTCTCCAATGTCCCACAGGGGCCGTTTCTGACTCAACATGAACCCAGAGTTGATCCAGGTTTGCCTTATCAACCTTTAAGAAGAACTCAGGGTTAAAGTCACACTTCTCTCCATTATTGCCCACAATCTTGATCTTGACCACTGTAGGAAGAAAACAGTAAAACTTCTCTTAGATGAGCCGAAAGGGTTTTTTCTCCTGCTCGCACCTGGAGAGGCCAGTGCCTAGAGGTGCTGTGCGCTTGCAGATGTGTCTCTGCTTTATTTATTGGCCACTGATTTAGTGGGGTGTTGTTGAAAGCTGATTGTCTAGTGATTGCACACCTGCACCTGTCATGCACTCCAGGGTAGTTTCTGGATTGACCTTTGCAATATTAGGCTCTAAAAGCCAAGCCAAAAGCCAAATATTTTTCTTAAATATTTAGGCTATTAAAGCAGTTTCTGTTTTTAAAAAAGCACATTGCTCCAGAATTCACCAAGGCTGGAACATCTCTTTCTTATCCTCCCTCATTACCTTCATTGTACATTTTGAAATAGGCCTTCGTCTGGGCACAGTCCTGAACCAAAGTACGAAAGCAGGAGCAATTATTATATGTAAATCTGTTTTAGTGTGGGTGTAATATTTGTACTGAACCGGCTGCTTTAACCAATTCTTGTCTGAAACGAAGCATTAAAGGAAAAATGCAGCAGAACTTGTTCTCATTGGTCTAAAGCATGGCTGCCCAACTTTAGGCCTTTGAGCCTTTTTTACTTCTACTGTGCAAAACTCAGAGACCACCCTTTATTTGTATAATTTTAAGTTGTTAATTTTTCAACAGCAGGAGAAAAAGCAGAAAACATGTTCTTAACAGAAAAATACGCAGAAGCCTCAACAACAAGTATTGCGTTCATTTTTTCAGTGTTTACTATGACCACTCTTTCCCTTTATTACAGCTTCCATTCTTTAAGACACTTGCTTACAGTTTTCAAAAATATCTACAGGGATATTTTTTACACCTCCAAAGTTCAGTCTTAGAAGTTGGTTGTATTTTCTGCTTCTCATGATCAAAGTAATCTCAAACACATTCAGTGATGTTGAGGTCTGGACTGGGTGGGCAGAGTTGTTTTATCGAAGTAGAAGGATGGACAGAAACTCCTGTGGATTTGTTCAGATCTAAAGGAAGAGTGAATCCTGATTTTCTCCCCTCTCTTGAAGATGAAAGCTTTTAAGTGCTGTTTATCTGATGGGGACAGTTTTGGTGGTCACAGTTGTTAAGAGTCCCATTTTCTCCATACCTTTTAATCATTTTTGAACTCTAGTTTTGGAAACTTCTGTTTTTTTTCACTTTTCATTTGACTTTTTCTTCTTCACTTAAGTGGATTATCTTATATCTGATCTCCTCAGAAATGTCTCCTGAAAAATGAATAACTTGGACAATCAAATGATTGAATGGTAGTCTCTGACTTTTGCACAATACTGTATATAATGTAAGTTCTTTTTTTTCCTGTTTTTTTTTTATTTTAGTAACAAAATATAGTATAATGTTACAAAGTATATTTTTAAACACTCAATTTGCCAAAAAGCTACCTACCTTGTGTTTTTGTGTATTGTTTCATTGTTTTAACTCTTGCCCAACTGCAAACATTCCACCTGGGCACCCCTAGGTAAAGTGATGAAATGGTGTGATTTGTGCTTGGAGAACAAATGAATTATGAAAATGTAAGATGTAGACATTTACATTACAACATTAGTTTGGTACCAATGTATAATGATGCATCGATCTCTTATTGCAGTTTAAAGACATTAAATGGGTAATTTAAATCTCTCTGTTTGATTTCTTTCCCCAGTGCACTTAAGAAAGAGAAGACAGCCCTCCTGCAGGTGAAAAACAATATGGCTGCCGATCTGGAGCGGCTCCTGAGCCACAGAGAGGTAATGGCTGACTCGGCACATCCCCAAAGGGAACAAGGGAACATGCTCCTGTGGCACAGTTTGTTGCAGCATACATGTGTCTGAGGGGTGGAGTTGATTTGTAGTGTAGCTTGGGTTAGTATTAAGGCTTTTTTGGGTTTGTGTTGGGTTGTGTGGGGAAATATTATCTCATTAGCCTCTTGACTTTGTGTTGCCTTTAGGGCGGCAGTGATGGCATCGTTGACAGCATTGTTTATGAACAGTTCAAAATGATTTTTTCTAAATGTAATTATTACTTTTAAAAAATGCTCAAAAAGCTCCGGGACTCACCAGACCAGGCAACTTTGTTCCATTGCTTCAAGGTCCAGTTCAGATGCTTGTGTTGTTGGCACTTTTAGCAGTGGATGATGTTAGCATGGGCACTCTGACCTGTCTGCTGCTAAGCAGCACCATATGCAGCAGTGCACTGTGTTGTGGCACATTCCTCCTGTAACCATCATCAAAAACTTCTGTGATTCTAGTAGCCCTTCTGTCTATTCGGTTCAGACTAACCAAAAGAAGGGCTATTGATGAGCCTTGGACACCAAACATCCTGTCACTGATTTGTGATTGTCCCTCCTTGAACCACTCTCAGTAGATACTCAACACTGCTGACTGGGTAAGTGATCATGATGGTTTAGCTCATATATATATATGCACAAATGTGTGCACACAATGATTTTCAGAGTTTGAGAGACATTACATTTGCTTCAGAACAATGGAAAAACTTGTGCATGAACTGTGAGTTAGTTTCTCCAGACTGCGCAGCACGCAGAGGGGATCAGAGTGGAAAGCCTTCTTTAACCCAGCCGTTTATGCAAACAAAGAAAAAAATGCTGAACTATTACAGCTCAAATTTTTCATGTTGTTACAGCATCCCGGTCACTCATCACTCCTGCATGCACATCAATGCACAACGCTTTCAGGAAGTCTGTCATTGGCTTTTGATTAAACTTAGTATTCAAAGATCTGCTCATAGCATTTTCAGTGATTATCTTTTGCCCAGGAATTGGCAAGTGGAGTGCAGAGCTGTTTGTTGTCCGTATTTAGGAGATACCAGTGTAATTGCGTGGCTAGCTGATGGAACGAAATAAAGAGTAAATGAAATACCCTTAACTCATTTGGTGTACCTCTGTGTATTACGCATACCCCAGTTTTGGAAACCACTGCTTTAATCAATTAATTACAGAAATGATCTGTATCATGTTCTGGATGCCGTTTTCCTGGCAAATGACCAGACTTCACTGATAAAGCTTTTAGTTCAACAACCTTTTCAAAATCTTGGCACTTCATGCGTGTCTGTAACGCGTAAACAGATAAAATGCATAACGCTAGTAAACAAGGTGTTAGAAAAAGAAAAAAAGAATGAAAATGAAATGTGACCGTGTTACTGTTGGAACTGATTGGAGTACTTAACTGGAACTTTCTTCCACACGCACACAGACTCACACTTACATATACTTACTCTCTTTCTCTCTCTCGCTCTCTCTGCTCTGGGCGTGCCTTGCTTCTTTGCGCTGTCACCCCAGCTTGCCGTGCAAAGCAGCAGTCACGCTAGGTGACTACAGGCTTGTTTGTTTGAACAAGTCTTTCCTCTCACAATGCCACTGTGCTGTTTAATTAGCGAGATCTGCCACTAGTAAGACTGATGCTTTTGCTAGTATTGTCACTTCTGCAGTACCTGTCACTAAACAGGTGTTTGTTCATACATTGCCCAACTGCCCTGGCCTTTTAGAAGCTCTGTTTACATTGTTTCTGTTAGTGAAATGCAAAGGACTGCAGAAGAATTCCCTTGAATTTTTGGAGCTATTGGCTTATCTGTGCTATATGTCACTGGAAGTTCCTGTTATGCGGGTCAGCGGGTTCCCATGCTCATCTTCGGCATATTAGTGAAAGGTGAGTGTCATGAGTTTGACGCGGGTGAGCGCTCAGATTCAGAGTTAATAGTTTCTGTCAGTGACAAGCCTTGATTGTTCATCACCATGATTTGGCACATCTGTATCATCCAGGTTTTGACTTGCAATTGAGGTTATGAAGATGCCACAACAATAACACAAATTATCATTCAACCATGAGAATTATTGTTGTTGTTTTGCTGTACTACTAAATTAACTAGATATATTATATAATATATTATATAATATGTTATAATAGATTACATCTAGATTCAATGTACGGTATTGGTCTGGACTCAAAGAAGTTGTTTCTTTATTTTAGAACAGTAGTGAAAGCATCAGAGCTATTAAATAGCATGTATGGAATTATATGGAACTGGCAATGCTAGTTTAATGAGTCTTCTATTTTAGACTCTTTTAGAAATTAGCCCTTGTTTTTGCCTTGATGCAGCTTTACATGCTCTTGATCATTCTCTCTCAAGGAGCCACCTGCGATGCTTTTCTAGAAAAAATAAAACTAAATGGCTTTTCCAGCTTTTGTAAGCTGTGACTGATTTGCTGAATTTGTTACATTAATATTCTGTTTGCATAAACATTCTATGGAAAAAAGTAAAATAATTTAGTGAAATATCTTCAGAGCTATTGATATGATGACAATTAAGTGGAAAAGTGTTGTTGCTTTAAACCACTTGCTGGAAACCATTTCAAGAATATATACAGTACATTGCCAAATCCAAGCTTATTAAACCATTTATCTTGGCAGGATAGTGATCATACAGTAAATAATAAGCGTTGAGTAAGTAAATAAGTAGTGTGTGTTTGCATTGTAAAAACCCTCAACAATAGACAAATGTAGCATCTTTTAAAAAAAAAGAGTTGTCAACACATCAAAAAGAGTTAAAATAAAAAAAGAACGTCAATAGAATAAATGAAGTGTCAGTATTGTGGAAAATTTTGGTTATTGCCCAGTTCTAAATAGTCCTACCACAAATAACACTCAACAGTAGCTCGCCACTGCTCGCACACCAAGCCTTAGGAGGAGCTGATAACACATTTGTGAAATCTGGAGCTATTTTGAACCAAACATCCCCCTCCCACCCCGCCGCTGCTGCCCTTTGCCGAGTGCACAACTTCCAGTGGCATGTTGGCATAAAGTGCGCAGTCCTCACGGACAGCTGCTCGCCCGCACAGCGTTTTAACATGCCAGCGCATATGGCAGCCGAGTGATAAATAGAAATATTAAATGACCCCTGACACACACACACACACACACAAACACACACGCACACAACCATGCACATCTATATTCACCACTGAAGAGTTCTGGATGTTCCACTAGAATTAATTGGTATGTATGGTGGAACATAGCTGGAATTTTTTAAGCAGTTTTGTGTGGTGCTTTTAATTTTATGGAAAATGTTTTTGTGCATTGTCTTTTACATTTTTGTCATTTGAAACATTCAGAACTGCTGGCTCAAACGTGTCGATACAGACTGAAAAATCAAGTGTAATTCATTATGTAGCTAACTTTTGTATTGAATTTTGTAATTACATGTAAATAATATTGCAAAACAATAGGCATAAAGGTTCATTCAGTCTTGTGTCATAGTGTAGTATTAGTAATGTATATTTTTCTTTGAAAAAATACTAGATTCTAGAAAACCGTACTTTTATACAGGGTTACATAACTTTATATTTCCTTTAAGCATAACCGGTCATCAACGAGTTCCCCAGCCATGCTACAGTTGTCTGCAACCGAGAGAGCTGTGTAGGATGGCCATCATTTAGCTCAGCCCAGCCAGCAGGGATGTCTGTTAGCTGAATTAACAGAACTGGCAGTTAGCATTCACACACACGTGCCATATATATAAACCAGTACCTGGTTTGACTGCATAAATTATGTTAAGTCAGGTGTTCTGCTGATGGAATTTAACAAAACTAGGGGATGGCTGGGGGCATCAAAGAGAAGTCAGTAACCAAACCTGTGCTCTTCTAGCTCATAACATCTCAACTACTTTTTGAAAGTAAGAACTTGTTTACTGTAGTAGTTTGTTTGAATTTATTATAACATATAGTGTCTTTGCAAGAAGAAACACACTGCTGAGATAAATGGTTTCAAAAAGTTTGCTCACATGCCTTTTGAACTGTAGAGGTGTTATATAAATACATACTCAAAGTGAGACCTTTTGTACTTTCTCAGTACTAATTTCCAAATGGTTTGCAAGCGTGTTGGAATTCTATGATTTGTCTCCATGCCGCAGAACTGAGTTGATTTTATCGTCAATCTTCAATCTTCAAATGCATTTAATTAATGTGTAAAAATCATGCAAGAACATGAAGCGAACCTCCCACAGACACATCACACAATTGATGCATGCCAGAAGGAAATTCCTCCTCATCACCACCAAACCACTCATTGGTTACTGTGTTATTGTGTGCTATTGTGACTTGAACAAAACATTGCTCAAAAGTTGTAAATCTTCTTTGAACATTAAAGTTTCCACTGTTTGAGAGGCAGTTGGGAGATAGATGTCATGTTCTACAGCTTTTGAGAAAAAATACACTTACTATAAGAAAGTCTTCCCTCTGTCGAGACATGAGGTTACTAAAGGTGAAAGACATTGCTCTGTTGTGTCTCTTAATTTGTGGTATCAAAATTAGCACATTAGTAATGAGTAATGTAACAAATCATGTTGCTATTTTTTTGACGCCATTAATGCATTTGCAATTTGACCCCTCAAACTGTTCATGGTTCCATCTATGACTCTGCAGCTATAGTTCTTAAATACAGCTTTTAAATGGCAATTTCCATTAATGGTTCTCTGTATAAAACCAAAATTATTTTCAATTAGTGCAATATCATGAATTTGTTTCAAGTCTGAAGTATCATTTACAAGCAAACACATCACTGATGTGGCAATACCAGTAATTCAGCAGACAACGCTGGACAGTGAGCTCTTGTCAGAACTATGGTTAAATCAAAGAGCAGCAAACTAACAAAAGCAATAGCAAAGTGGAATGCTGCATTTACCCTGGAAACAAGATGTAATGTACCATTATCAGAGTGACAACTGCAGAGGAGTTGGAACCATTGATTATGATTTACACACTCGGTTGAAACATGCAGCCACTGTTGCTTTATAACCAGGTGTTGTAAAAGAAAACTAGAAGCTGCGTTCACACTATGGAAATCATGTGATGTGAATGTATGTGAACCTTGCGTTCAAATGACAAAAGCGTTGTTGTGAATTTTGACTTATTGAAAGTAATAAATATGTTTTGGTGAAGCTTATTTTGTCTACTTGTAACAAAATGCACAGCTTTTATAGAAATCTCTTTTAGAGCTAAACCAGAATAATAAACAGTAGCTTCGGTTTCTGTTTACTTCTAGTCTTCCTCTTATCTGTTTTATAAAACTGTTATAATTACATTGTATGCCCTTTGTTCCTAGATTCCTTCATATTGAAAAAAGAACATTGCTGCCTAAGTTGGTTGTGCATATCTAGAGTGATACGAACAGGGACCTTTATGTCCACCCCATCACTAAAACCATACTAAAAGAAACTGCCCTCAGGTCCAGTTTACACTGACTTCAACAAACACCAAGGTTCTGATGTTTAATTGGCCTAATCCCACTCCAGAATAAGAACTGAGAAGCCAAGTGAACCATTTTGAATGGCAGCAGAATAGTGTGAATGGAGGAGGATGTTTTAGAACAGTATGAATGGAGTAACATTGTAGTGGAGTGTGAATTTAGGATAATATTTTAGAACTGTGTAAACTGGGGAGGACCTAAAAGAATAATGTAAAAAGGGGACAACCTCAGAAGCAAAGGTCAAGGGTTTTCTGATTGAGAGCCTCTTCTTCATAGGAGCTGTCTGTGATGAAGCAAGTGCTGGTCAGCATGCGTTCACGGCAGCATGGGGAACCTCTGTCCACGTCGGAACCAGAGTTTGTCCGTACTGGAACAGCTGTACGCCTGCCCAGGGAGTCCAGCAAAGCCACAGACGAGGAGCAGTACCAGCCCAGACCCAAACCCACTGTGTTTGTGAGTATAGACAAGACATAGATGGGGAGCAGTAACTACGGATGTGCGCAGTTATTTGAGGTCATCTTAAGCCCTAGTGAAGCTGCGTTTGTTCTATGATCTTAGTAATTACTGTGATTTTAATCCAGTAAGAATCTGCAACATTCATAATCTGTGAAATAATAATTCAGGAGCAGATTACCTTCTGTAATTCACTAAACCTGGAGTTTCTTTGCTACTAGTAGTCCTGTTCAAATTAATCTCATGTTAATGGACAGTGCCACTACCTGTTCGGCAATTGCAAGGCAAGGCTGATTGCTAAAATGTTTGACTTTGCACAGTTCCTCATGTTCGACACAGGGTTGCTGTAATCTACAGTGTTTTTGGTGATGCCCTGATTAGAAAAGGAAGGAAGATGGAGTGTCTTGAAAGCACCTCTTACAGCACTGTGCGATTTCTGTCTTGTAGCGCAGCATTTGTCAAGTTGAATAAGCCCCCTTTTCTAACCCAGTTCTATCTGATCTGGCATTAACTGGAAACAGTTCTGTTGTTTGTTTGTTTGTTTGTTTGTTTGTAAGTACCCGTTTCATTTTATTCTTAACACTGATGTGAACGTCCAAACTATGGGTTTGGACGTTCACATGGGCTGTCTGGGGTAATTTTAGGAAATGACATAACTTCTTCCTTCCATACAAATTGGCCAGTCAGATCCTATACAAATTACATTAGAGAACCTTCTCTGATAATTCTTTGGTCATTAATTTTTTTTTAAATACACTGCATGTCCAAAGGTTTCCAGATTAGTGAATTCAGTGACTTTAAGGTGTACCCATTGCTGACACATGCATCCAAGTATGCATACATTAAGTATAATCTCAATAGAGAAGCATTGCAGATAGAATGGGATGATCTGGAGCAGCAACACATAAGCCTGTGGCCACTGTGACCAGTCCAAAGCTCCCGCTAGAGGGATATAAAGCAAGTAAAGAGGGCTGCCACCACAGTCTCACTTAAGTGGTATAACTCAGATCAACAGATTCTGGAACTTAACATTAAACATTACCAATGAGGCAGAAAAATTGCATCGCGTTCAAAAAGCTGCAGTCATCCACTTTGTTCAGACCTTTTTTACATGTCAAGGAATGCTTCGGATGCAGGATTAATACTGGATCTTGCTGCTGATTTGTGGTCATATTACATAGGGGTAGCTTATCTGCACATGCATAAAAACTCTTCCTGGAAGAGTAGAGGCTGTTACTGTTTCAAAGGGGGATAAAGCCCTATTAATGCCTTTGATTTGAAGAGAAACATTGGATGAGCAGGTGCCTACAAGATTTAATTTGTACTCGTTCTATTTATTTATTTATTTTATTTATTTTTTATTTCAATTAAGAGTATAAAATATTTTTGTTGTTAGCATATTCAAATGGTATCATATGTAAAAGATGGATATTTGAATAGCAGAGCTGGTTGAAAGCCCATTCCTACCACAGACCAGCAACAGTTCAACATATAATTGACCACAGTCTCACTTTGATAATTTAATGTAACAGATTCTGGAACCTAACATTTAAACAGTACCAGTAAGGCAGAAAAAATGCCGTCACTTTATAAAGTTGAGACCTTTTCTGCGTGTAAAGGAATGCTTCTGATGCAGAACTGTTGCTGGATCTTGCCAATAATTTGTGGTCATATTACACCATAGTATCTTATCTGTACATGCATAAAAAGTAAGAAGTACAAGGTGCTCATACATGTCAGCTCATGTTTGCTTATGGCAGGAACCAGCCTGGATTTTATATACCTTATCAAACCTTTATGCATAAAGGTACAAAGAAACAGCTCAAAATCGTTTGTCTTCTCTTTTCACAGACCAATAAAGAAGTCCCTGAATGGTACAGGAAGCTTAAAGTGAAGCCCAAATAAAGAACGGAGCCTTGATTTACCCACATGTGACCACGAAGAAGGCGATATAAGTGCAACTTACTTCATGACTGTGTAGTGTTTTTGTTTTTGTTTTTGTACATTCAATTCTGTACATTATTGTTTACCTGAAATCCATTTTGTATTATTTTGTTTAAATTAAAAAGGATGTTTGGTCTATGGGAAAGTGTGATATGTTGTTGATCAGAACTGTCCTGTCAGATTTGTAGCTGCTGTATATATTTGTCCTCTTTTTTTTTAATTATTATTATTTATTATTATTATTATTGTTATTATAGTGCTGAAGTATAAAGTTGCTCAAAGTGCCATGTTAATGTTTAGATGACTTTTTGAATCGTGCACAAATCGTAACAGGAGTCCGTTCCATCCCCTCTTGAGTTGTAAAGCTCCACACAGTGGCGATAAAAATAGACAGAGCCCTGCATACCATAAGATTCAGTCAGGCTCATCTTAATGCTGTACACAAAATGAACCAGAAGAGGAAGGTTTACGTCAGCATCGTGTTGCAGGTTCTGTTTAACAGAGTTGTAGCTAGTTCATCCACTTAGGTTGCCTAACAATGGGTACTGGTCTGTATACATAATATTACTGTGTGTTCGTTGCTGCATTTTGCTGTGCTGGAAGTTTGAACGTAGATCTACTTTTGAATGTATAAATAATTACAGACTGGCCAGGAAAAGAAAAAAAACAACAACAAAGACAAGAAGAAGCAAAAAAGGTTTAATTAACTTTTCATATTAATAACTTTTGTTATACCTTCTTCAATAACAGCTTATATAGTGCAGTATTTAATACTGTAAACTAGACAGAAAGGATACTTTTACATGTCATACTCAATATTCCAATTAATTTGGCAACAACAATTCAAGATAAAATATAATTCTTTATAGGCTTTTTTTATATCTGCTTTTAAGTGTGATTGTCACTTTTGAAATGCGAGACATTTTGGAAATTAAATTAGAATTTCAAGCAGTTATTTTAAAATCATCTGTAGCTCAAGTTGTCATCCTGGAGACTAAATACAACTTAATTGTATTTATTTTATTGTATTTCTATTTGTTTATTACAGCTTCCTACTAATTATTTTAAATTATACGAATTGGTGAAGTTGCACTGGACCAGCATTTTAGAATAATTTTATACATTGATCTCCCACCCTGTTGACTTTATCATCAAAAACACTCATTCACCAACTGTTCTTAAGTAGAAATCTCGTCCTTTTTTAATGTTTTTACGAAGATTCTGAAACTGACCAATGTTTTCTTATTTGGGATTTGTTCATAGGTAAGAACAGAGTCAAGAGCACAAAGGTGCCCACTGATTCTGAATCATGGAAATTTCAAAACCTCTATTAAATACAAATTGTCCATTTTTCAGAAGAAATTTCTGAGGACATTACATGTAAGGTAATCTGAAAAAACAGGAGTTTCCAAAACTGGACTGGCAAAAGTGATTAAAATCTACAGAGACAATTAGACTCCAAACAGCCATGCAAGACCTGATAGACCACCAAAACTGTCCACATCAGATAAACAGCACTCAAAGCTTTCATTTGTGAGAGAGAGGAGACAATCAAGCTCCACTCTTACTTCAGATCTGAAAATATCTCAACAGACCTCAGCATCACTGAGTGTGTTTGGGATTACTTGGATTGTGAGAAGCAGAAAATGCAACCAACTTCTAAGACTGAACTTTGGAGGTGTGAAAAAATATTGCAAATACTGCAGATTTCTCTGGAGAACTCTAATTCTAGTTCTAGTTTGGAAAATTCTAGTTAGTTGTTTGTGTAATTTTCTGTTTCTGTTCTGTTCATGATGCAGAAAAATAAACAATTAATACTTAATGGACATCTTTAAATGGATAACTTAAATGAAGTAGTCTGTCTTTTACACAGTGCAGTATATATAGCTCCTATATTGATCTCACATATGAAATAAAGCTAAATATAATAATTACATTAAATGAAATATATTTGAATGTTATCTTGGCACTAAGTGTGTTTTTGTTTGCAACAACACCGTATGCCATTAGAATAAACACAAACATAAATATGTTAAAAAGCAACAAAATTTCTTGTTTTCAAAATAGTAGTTGAGATCTTGAGAGCTCCCGATATCCCGATTTCTCTGACACGTGCAGCCATGACATAGATTTATTAAAGTCCATCAGCAGTCCATAATGCGCAGTGAAGGATCCATTAGCCAACCAGGAGTTGAGTAACTACAAATACACTGGTCTGCTCGAGGAGAAGAGGTCAAACAAGCGCATTACTTACTGTATTAATATTGTTTGTGTTTATTTATAAAGTACTGTGCATCCCTTTGTTACTGCCTGCACTCTTAAAACATATACTAGGAAAAAAACTAATTCTGTCTCTAACTAGACACATCAGTGTGTTCATTTAGAGACGACACATTTTGTGTGACAAACAAAAAATGTGTTAAAATGTTTCGAGACCCAGTTATGGAGAACACATTTTAGGTTAGAGGAATAAGCAAAAAAATGGGTAACACAGGTTAGAGTGTTATTATTTAACACATTTTTATTTTCTGTGTTGTTCATTTACATAAGCACCAATTCCACCCAGACGGATTATATGTAGAGAAGCATCCGCTCAGCTCCTCAGCAGGTGCTGGTTTGTCTCTGAGGTTTTGGCTTCATTCTCGGTTACAGTAAGCGCTGTTCAAGGCGGAGCCGCTTCACTTTCCCCGCCCATACACTCACACACTCACACACACACACACACACACCACCCCGCTACATATACATACAAAACACGCGCGTGCACACGCTCTCGCTCACTCACTCGCTCGCTCTCACTCTCAGAGTCACGCGCGAGCTGCTGGTCCTCCGATGCGATCCGTGTAGCTCAGTGAGGAGGCAAAAAGGTCGCGTGGACGCGTTTCATGGCAGCAGCGCTGATCACCGCCACGAGCTCCGCGCTCGCGCCGCTGGGACACGACGAGTTCGCCGCGGAGGATCCCTGCGCCCTCTTTCACTTCGACTGCAAGAGCCCCCAGCCGGACAGGGTGTTGGCCAGCGACTATGCGCAGGTACACACACGCCGCTCGCTCTCGAAGCCTTACGGTCTGTCTCTGTGCTGTCTCGGTGAATTAGCTTTGGCTGGGAAATAGATGCGGGGAAAGGTGTGGCTCATCGGATGGGTTCTGCCTCGTGCCTTGTCTCAGACTCGCCTACAGGGTCCACCTTGCCCCTGTCCCGTCCGCATGCGATAGAATAAAGCGTGCACTAAGCTGACGGGCCTGTTCAGACCAGCGCGGCTGCTATAGGTGCTGGATCGAGGCGCGGTTTTGGATGCTGGCTTGTCTTTCTCCCCGCGTTTGGGGCGGATGGGTGCTCGCAGTTGCTCCCTTGGCTTCCCCACCGTCAACAACTGCCCCCCCGCCTCGCTGCCACCATCCGTTCCCGCCCCCGCCCACGCACGTTACTCGCACTCTGAACTGAAACTTCCCAGTAACGCCGACCCCCTTAATCAGAAAACTTGTGAAAGAGATATGCTGCGTGTCCGGCGAACAGCTGGACGATCTAAATTCAGAAATAGCTGTGTGGTGAGCAGCCGCGCAAAGAGCACTTCAGGAGGGCTGACATTCCGAGTGTCCCCCTCCCCTCCCCTCTCTGACTCTATTTCTCGATCTGTAGTAGTCTAGCAGCCCAAGGACCACCAGCCAGTCCGCATTTTTATCCTGTTCCACTTCTGAACACCTGAGCTGGAAGGTAATCGAGGTTGTGGAGCGTTTAGGCGTGTTTGTAGTCAGAACAGAGCAAAACGTGGGGTCCCAGAGGATTGGGGGACCAGAAACCCCCTGGCCAGTGGACGCTGGGCATAATGAATGGGGTTTGGTAGCTCTTTGTCAGCTGATTGCGGTTTAATGATAATTGGGTGACATTTATTTGCCAAAGCTGAGTAGTAACCTCCATGCTTTCCGCTTGTCAGCAAAGCCTGTTTTGGGGCCCGTGGTATGAGCTCTGTTTTACAGTCCAAGGGGGAATGTGGCAGAGAGCTACTGAAGGCTACTTGATAAATGTTTTGCTGCTGACTGTGCCGCATAACGTAACTGCGGCCCACCGGCTTCATCCGTGCCACTGACATAGTTTAGGCATGATGGTAGACCATACACCGCAAAACATCATGTAGAAGGGCTTTGTCGACGCATGGATTTTAGAGCAATTTGTCTCAGGGGTTAATATCAGAGATGATGCCTAATTATGCCTAACTAATTAAGGTGAAGGCTGTTTTAAATGTTTTCCTGTTGAGTTATAATAATGTATTACATAGATTTATGCATCACCTGCTACCTGCAGTCTTTCAAAAACTGAGCAGGAAATCTTATCAAAGCTTGCATCAGTGGTGTATTATTGTTAAATCGTTCCCTGAAACTGATTCAACAAAGGGAATTAAGAAATGCCTGGGTGTTCAATGTTTTTCCCTGATAAAATCCAAGTCAGGGTCATGACAGCCTTTTTTTTGAGTGAATGAATTGCAGTTGTGTTGGGCTTAGGGGCTACACTACTGACTTACCCGAGAATTCCCTTGAGTTACCTAGCTCTTGAGCAATAGGCGTGTTAGTGGCTTCTGCGTTTACACATGTACTCTAGGAAGCCTTTCTAAATGTGTATTTGTACTGTGTGAGTTTGTGCTAAGCCAACATGAAGTTCTTTGAAATCTGTCTGTCTTTGCTGATGTGAGCAGTACATGCATTCCGCCTGTCATAAAATCATCATTCTATGCTAAGCTTGTCATGTGAGTGTCTGAGAGACTTTGAAAGGAGCTTAAATCCCTCTGTTGTCTTTCCTCAGGCGAAGCTCGAGATGGACAAATACCTGACGCCTCAGCCCCAGGCTTCCCTGCTGGCCAAGAAGGATCAGAGCTTGTCTGTGGTGGACCAGTTATTTGGAGATGACCATGGCTCCCCTTATAGCATCAACATGAATGTCTACCTGCCTGACATCGCCTACCTACGTAGCGGTCTGTGCCGCCCAGCCCGTTCCTCCGTCCCCAGCCAAGTCAAAAGCAAGCCAGTGACCTCATCACCTTTCTCTTCCCCACTGGACTGTTCCATTAGTACACCCGTCCCGGCTCCACCAACTCTGCCAGAGTTCACCAGCATCTTCAGTTCAGCTTCCGGGCCAGGCGTAGGAATGGACGCCTGTGACGCTTCTGGCGGCATCTTTGTCAAGCAGGAGATGCCGTCTTTCGAGCTTCCCCAGGATGGCCATCTCTTCCATCTTCTGAGCTCAGAGCTGGATGATCCCATCCAAGGTGTTTCGGACTCTCATGCCCACGCCATGCCCTCACAGGTGCCCGCCTACCATGACCTGCACTTAGCAGCCCCACAGACTGTGGCCAAGCCATACTGCAGCATGCAGGCCACTGGGTATACTCTGGGTCCAGGCCACTTCACTCAAGGCCAGACACAGGTCAAAGCGCCCTATCTTCCACCCTCGCCGCCCACCTCCGAACCTGGCAGCCCGGACCGGCAGAAAGAGCTGCTTCAAAACCTGACGCCCCCACCATCTTACGCTGCCACCATTGCGTCCAAAATGGCTGCCCACACACCCAATCACACCATGCCCACATCCACACGCACACCTGCAAATCCTGGAGCTGGAGGCATGCCGGTCCGCTACAACCGCAGGACAAACCCTGACCTGGAGAAGAGGCGAATACACCACTGCGATTTTCCAGGTACAGAACTTTACAGATAGCAAGAGCTTATATCTGAGGTTATATAATTTAAGTAATATGTTGCAAAACACAATTGATGAATCTGCAAAGTCTAATTTTTCCAACGTTGATGAATAATAATTCAGGGTTAAATGACCTTCTGCATCTAATAGATTGGCTGTGCTCCGTGTTGTTATAGTTAGTTAGTGTTGTGCTGATGTGCATAACTGGGCTATGACCTTTCAATCCAGGCTGTCTGTGGTCTTTTGGGAACGGATTACACATATACTTTGTTAGTTGGCCTGTCAAATCCTTTACAAATTACATTACAGGACCTCCTCTAGTAAATCTAAGCTTGAGTGGTGTTTATGTTTACCTATTACTTGAGCACTGCTGAGTTCAAGTTCTTGAGGCTTCAAACAGATAAGCAATAAACAAGAATAGAAAGCCTTTTTTCTGCAGCACTTCCTTCACTCAGTCTTTAGTGTTTTGTTTAGGAGCTGTTTCATGTCGAAGTCCACATAATAAATCACAGTCGTTCTCCTACCACTCTCCTCTGCTTCCTCACCAAGACCAATCCACTGTTGAATAATTCAGAGACAGCCAAAGCCTTTTAACCAGGCCTCCGAATTAATGTGAGGGAGTTGACGTCAGCCCCTGATTGTTATTGAATCCTGTTGCATCGAATTGACCGAGCAAATTGTAAAACAGGCAAGCCTCACAACGCCATTAATAGTGCATTTACGCTAAGCAGTTCCACGTCTGAAACGCCGCGCTCCACCATTTAGAACCCATCACTGCTTTACTGAGCGGAGGGGGTTTTACAGCTAACGAGATGAGATTGGTTTTAGCCGCTCAAATGGAATGGAAACATTACTGAAACCGAGGAACATGTTGCCACTTAGTTTGTGAATCCACTTCTGAGTTTTTACTGTTGTTGTGGTTGTTATTTGGTCTAATGCCCACTGCCCTGTTGTCTTCATTTATATTGTTTCAATCAGTAAAAATAAATATAAATAATTCTCTTCTTTTTTTTTGTCCTTTTGATTGACACAGAGACCTTCTGTTTATGTTTCAGGTTGTAAGAAGGTTTACACCAAGTCATCGCATCTGAAAGCTCATCTGAGGACGCACACTGGTAAGAACTCCCCCAATTACAGCCAGTTTTATTTGGGCCTGTCACAGCAGCGGTCGCTCTTTATTTTGGGTCTTTCGGGTCATGTTGCTGGGCAGGAAGGAGCGCTTGGCATGCCCTCGCATTCATTTCTCGCGCGCTGCCTGTAAGCTATCCCATAGCACCGACTCAATATAAGATTCAACAACTTTTTTTATGCTCCACGCTTTATTTGTGGCACAGATTAGCCAAATAACTAGCGCCTTGACTCCCCCGCGTTGTCGGCCGTTAAAGATCCGTGTCTCTGAACATCTGGTGTTGCAACCGCTGCTGTAAAATCTTGAGGCGTTAGAGTAAAATCAACACAGCATGGCCTTGAGCATATGGAGGAAAAACAAATATAGCAATCGCCACTTGTTAGGCTGTTCAGATTTTAGATTTTTCAAGGTATGGATGTTTTTAAGTCACCAAACAAGTCATAAACTGAATTGCCTGGGCCCTCAAGTACTACTATGATAAGATAAGGCCACCCACTTCTGGCATGGCCATGCAGTTTGAATCCACTACTAGGAGTGCGTAGATGCTACTTAAACTCAGACTATGAAGTAACTATCCCTTCTCATTAAGACATCTCAACGCTCATGAATGACAGCACATTAAATAGCGTAGATCCACATCCCACACCTTTTGTTCTCGCTTGTTTCTCCAGGTTTCTCTCATTTATCTCTCCCAAGGCTTGCTTAGTTGTTAATGCTGTCATGGCAGCGACATACGCATTCAGGTCTAACAGGAATGGTATTATCCCTGCTGTCTCCCTTTAATTCCTGACCATTTGGTAGACCACATATCCACCCCACCAGAGTCTATTATCCAGACTACGCAAACTGGTACAACAGGGAGGACAGCTTTTCTCCTTTTCTCTCTGCGGGTCTTCTCTCTTGCCTGAAAGAGCTTTTACAATGGCTCGATAATCACCTCAGATACACTACAATCCTACCTGTCTCAAGAGAGAAGGGAAGGCCCCCCCAGGCATGCCATGTGCAGAGATGGGCTGGCCAAAACAAGTCATTACAAGACTCCACTTTTGGGGCTCCTCTCACCTGTGCCCAAGCTCCAGGCTTACACTTTACTTAGCGTTGTGAGCTAACTGGCTTTCAGCTTTTCAGTTATAGTCAATCTTTTCTACACCAGATCATACTGGATTTTTGGCTTACCTACTCATTTCAACTAAGTTAGAGCTGAATATGGTTTTAAACACCCTTTTATTGCCCCTACAACATGGCACCCTACCAACCAGCAGTGCTATCTAATCAGAGTTGTTGAAAACAGGCTAATTCTCAGCTTAGATTAAGCAGCAGCTTCTCCTTTCTCAGAATAAACAAGTCAATTTTTAATTTCTCACATTGTACTGTCTACTGAAAAGCACGTTTTACCTGCACATTTAAGGCTGGCGCACTGTGGGAATTACCAGGCTCCCTTCCAGAAAGAAGATGCTTTTGTCTGGTTTCGCTGAACAGGCTTTAAAACATTTGAAACCAACGCTTGGGAAAGACAAACACAGTTTGCCATCGCACTGTTTTCCTATGACAGACTTCTCATTTGATCTTGACAGCCGGCTTTAGCACGCCGCGTAGCTTTGTTTTGAATACCATTACCTCGAAGAACGTTTTTCTTCCTCTTCTTCTTCTTCTTCTTTTCATTTTCCGCTGTAGGTGTAATACGTTGTGTCCACAATACCAGGCACATGTATTTGCTGTGGTTACTGGCGGAACAAACATAAGGCAAACTGACTTTACTTCAGTCAACATTTGAACAGTTTTTCCGCGCTTCTGTAGATGGAGCAGTGAACCCATATCCTTCATTTTTCTCTAATTTATTTATTTTTTTCCCCACTTATTAGCTTTACATGGATTTATGTACCAAAAACAGCCATAATTCATTTTTACATGACCATTTTCCAAACTCATATTTTCCAAACTCACTTATTCCGCAGGATAAAATAGGCAGTTTTTGTTCCTCTGCCTTTAAATTATATTTTATTTTTTTACATAATTTAAACTTTCTGCCTTTTATGATGTCTTAAAGTTTCATGATGACTGGATCAGTAGAAATGGTTACTCAGAAAAAGATATTTTCCATTGACTTCCAAAGTTAAGAAAATGTTATGGTATGTAAATGACTGCTGTTCTAATTGGGTGCCCTGTATTGTGCCTCATTCAAAAGCAGTCCAGGCTGAAGCCTGCCTCATAACTTCACCGTAAATGGCCAGGGTTAAGTTGCTGTGTGCTGAATAGGCGAGTTAATTAAAAATGCATTTTTCATCACAAGAACAACAATTTCAGTGTAGGATGTTTTGCAGCCTGATTTCGTACATGGACCGTATGATATTTACAAGGGATATGCCAGTCATGAATTTAAGGCAGATTCTGATTTCTTTACAGCCACACTGTGCTCTACTATTTGCCAAAGGAACACTACTAGTGCATTACTTGCTCTTTAATGGTCCAAATGACATATTAGGTTATTAAATTATATGCCTTTTTAAATAACATGAATTCAAGCATTCAAATACAGGGTTAGTGCACTTACTAACTGACTGCCGATCATGTTTGGAGCACAAATCTGACAATTATGATCTTGGCCAATTCCAATCATCCAATCCTGTTTATGTACTACATCAAATAAAAATAAATAAATAAATAAGGCAAACGCAATTTTACAAGGTAGACTATTCAGCTTTACTCAGAAATCTTGCTTTGCGGGGTAAAAATGTGCTTCTTGTAGATGTGAGTGAGTGAGTGAGTGAGTTTTCTGTTTGTGTTTGTTGTAGGCGAGAAGCCGTACAGGTGCACGTGGGAGGGCTGCGACTGGCGCTTCGCCCGCTCTGACGAGCTCACACGTCACTTCCGAAAACACACGGGCGCCAAGCCTTTCCAGTGCGGCGTGTGCAGCCGCAGCTTCTCACGCTCCGACCACCTCGCCCTGCACATGAAGAGACATCAGAACTAAACAACACGTTTATGTATGACATGACTGTACACACACTGACAATCATAATATGTACTTACACACAGACCTGCGCTCACACACTCTGTACAGAACACACACACAATGCTTATCGTGCACTTGAAGAGACACTAGAACAAAACACACATTTGTAGCCAATTTAGACGACCCTTCTTATGTACTTATCACTTAAGGTGATTATTTCCCTTTGACTTGTCCACACAGTTTGAGCAAGCTTTGAGTTTCTCACTTCATTAGTTCAACCTGACTGTAATCTCTCCCTGCTATGCAATCACTCACTCATTGAAATGCGTAAAGGTGCACATGGACGCCACATAAATCACTACCTGACTCTTAAAGTAGCAATTTGTTTTCACTATTAGACGAGACGGTCTGTGCCGTGACTATTGAAATGCCATTTTGGAAGGACGTGTAGTGGCGCAAGTCATCCAGTTATTCTTTTTATCAAATAACTGCATCTAATTTATCTTTAGACTTTTATCCCTATATTAACCCATTTATGTCCAACAGCTAAATTTAGTATGATGTGGAAAAATGCCACATAATTTGTCCAGAGTGGTCAAAATTAATGAAATTAATAGTATAGCTTGGATGCACATCTAACAGTACCCTTTAAATTTTTTATTTGCTTGCAGTGAAAGGTTTAAATTTTGATTGCTTCTCCTGTAAAGTTACCATTATAGACATACAAGGTTTTGGGGCAACAGCAACGATACATAAATGGGCTTTGTTCTGATTGGCTGCCCTGTATTGTGCCTTAATCATGAGCAGTCCAGGATGAAACACTTCTTATAACTTTAGCATGAATGGGTGGGGCTAAATACTGTAGGCTGAATAGGTGGATATATGTAAAATCGTTGTGACATGTAATTTTTATACTTTTATTCACAGTCAAAATGGGATTTTAATGTTGTTTTAGTAAAAACTGGTAGTCCAATGTGACCAAGACTTTAATATGATACAGTAAGTGTTAAAATCTCTTAGCCATATGGTTAAACAATTGTAAAATTTCTAGGATGCACAATGATTTCGATGTTGGCAGATATTAATTTAAAAATATCATCATCAGACAGATGTCAGATGATGTCTTAGATTTGACCAATTTATAAAACCAATATTTGATGATGCATTTATTGCACAAAACTTTTAAAAGACTGTGCTAAAATATCTGCATTTTATTCGTTTTACCGCATTTCTAGTGCTATAGAAATAAAAGCTATTTTTCCCCTAATGCTTGTCCCACTTTCCACTTTTCAGAAATATTTATGTATTTCAATGTTAGCCCACCGTTCTCATGTTGGTTTATCCCTAAAAATCTTCAGATTTTTGCTCAAAATTTTTTAGCAGCACCATGTAAGTTTTTTTTTTGGTTAAAATTGTAGCTTTATAGAAGGAATAGAAGGAAAGAAGAAAACACGCTACAAAAAATAATATGTGCGCTGCTATGCATTGCCCTGTAAAGCCTAAATAGAAATTTAAAGTTTAAATAGGGATGTAAAAGTCAGAGCCATCAGGTCAGATTTTGCAGGAGTTTTTCAGGCCACATCATTCATCTTTACGTATTAACGTTACACACACAGGCTCAAAAAGAAGCTCTGGCTCCATATTTAGGTCTCAAATGCAAAATCAGCAATAAACTAATGAAGATATAATGACAATAGTACATAATTCACTTGCATCCTCAGGAGACACGTCCTTCACCAAGTTTGACTGAACATCAATTAATTAATGACCTTTAACACATCTATGTTAGCTAGAGTCCATCTTGCTCTTCCTCCAGCTCACTGCTAACAAAACCGCTAAGCTTTGTTTTTTTAAATGAAAATGTCTGCACAAAAAAGCTAGTACAATTTTAAACATCTAGAACTGGAATTAAACAAAGACTTTCGTTTAGTCTTTAATATCTATAAAGCTCTGAACTACATAAACTGTAAACTATAAATTGAACTACTTTATTTCTCACCTCAGTTAGACTGGAAATAGCTTTGAGCATCACTGGATCGAGTACTGTTCAAACTGGACTTGAGTGTAAATCCAATCCCTCCATTTGTGTGAGCCGCACTCTCCGACTGTACAGGCTGACATATTTATAGCTTTCAAAAAGGGACGTTAATGTACCGCTACTGAATTGCAATTACGTCCTGAATTATTGAACGGCCGCATATAAAAGGAATGAGGGGAATATTAAAGGGATTCAGACAGCTGTATGATTTGTACAGACCTCTTTACATACACACACACACACACACTCACATGCATGGCAGCCATTTGGTCATTGAAGCATTAGCTTGAATGTATAAGACTGCGCAAACACAACTGGAACACATTTCATCTTCAAGTGCCTTCTGGGGTTTTCTTTCCATGCCACATACTAAAGAGAGTGCATCTTTAGTAGCACATAAAAAAAGAACACAACTATAAAACAGCCCTGCGATGTTTACTCTAGCGGCAGGTATTGATTCAGTAGCTAGTATTGGTTCACTATTATTAGAATTTGATTACCAATTACATTCATTTGGCTACCTTTAAAAATTTGGGGCAGCAGTCGTAAGGCTACATGACACATAAATCTCTAATGTCAACTGACAGAAATCTACATAAACATTTATAAATAATAACATTTTTTATTTTTTGTCAATTTTCACCGCTCACCTCAGCAAGGTTTAGGTAGGTGTCGTGTAGCCTTATGAGTGTTACTAAAATGCTTTCAAAGGAGCTGAATTACCTGGTTCTTCCTGTAAAATTAACTTATTTATTGCAAAAGCTTCATGAAGTGAAATCTGACAAATGGGACTTTTTCTGTAACTGAACTGCCTTAATGTAAATACCATTTATTGTAAATATTATTTTGATTGATTTATTTTTGTTGCTTTTTCTTTTTTATGAAACGGAGGGGCACCACCATATTGCTCTGCGTCTTTGCAGTGTGTCTATATTTTTGTTGTTTCGAATATTTTTATTTTGTACTTATTTTGTAGATTCCCAAATGATATTTCTAAATCGGTTGTCTTCGGGACAAAAGTTGTTTTTTTGCCAACTGAATGAAACGAAACCTAATAAAATCAACGTGACATTTTGTTCAGTAGTTTTTCTTGTTCATTCTGTTTTATCTCTAAGACTGCTGACATCATTAAACATGCCCACACAGTGGGCCACACCTTCTTAGACAGGAACGAAAAGGCCACAATTTGTTAACATGGTTACGTAAGGGCTTTTCACTACTATCTTTACTGATCACTCTGGAAAATAAAGGGTTCTTGGAACCATTGGAACCTCGGTATGGTTCAACCATCTTTAAAAAGAAGGTGTCCCAGAGTTCTTTTAACGTAGAAAAAACACTTTTTGTTCCCTAAAAACCTGTTTGAAAAAAAGATTTGTGAGTGTAAAGAACCTCTTAAAGGTCTTCTATGAATTTAACAGTAAACTTTAAACTTAGAGTTCTTCATACTCTCCTATCTCTTTTACAAAAAATGGTTTTCTAAAAAAACGCCCATTGAAAGGTTCTTTAGGGAACCAAAGGTGCTAAGGCAATGCATAAAGAACCTTGATTTTTTAATATGTTCTGCACATTTGCACATCCCATTTCTAAATACGGTTCTGTAAAGAACTGCCGTTGAATTCCTTAGGTAACCAAAACTGGTACTTCTATAGCATTGCATAAAGAACCCCTTCTGGCACCTTTATTTTAAAGAGTGTGTCTAAAATCTATATACATATAACATATAACCCTTTTCCTGACTTACTTGAAGGAGCATTCCATCCAAAACCACCAATTGAAAAACCAGAAGTGGTTCTTCTATGGCATTGCATAAAGATGTACACAAAAGCTCCTTCCTGTCTTTGTTTATGGAAGGTTCCACCCAAAACATTTTGTTTCATGTACCCAGTACTGTGCTATTAAAATAATTTGGAGAGCTTTTTAACTTGTTAACCTCTTGAAATTCACCATTGGTCTTCAGCCTGAGCTATGAAGATCGGCTTCAGCTTCACAATGTCCCAAACACTTCCCCCGCAGTGCCGCTCTTTACTAAGAACCAACATTTGTTTTATTGCCTGTTGCTTAGGCCCGAGGAAATAAAAACATGGTGTTATTGTACATCAAACAGCAAGAACAAAAGTATTGGCATAAAAATTACCAGAGCAGAAATGGTTGTGCTTTAGAGATCACTTGGCTCTGGCTATATAGAGAGTTAAACACTTATCTGATCTCACAAATCAAAAGTCATGCTGTTCCCACATATAAAGAACTGGACTAACTCTTTATGTCACACCTGTAGTCAAAACAAGAGTTACCACAATGAAAGTGAATGCCTGGTTTGCAAACGAAAGGTTATTTAAATAATGACTTTTATAAGCTGGTACAACCTGTATAGTTGCATTTGTATTCAAAGCAAGACTTTCGTTTTACTGGTTAACCCTTGCAGGTTGCAGTTGCTCAAGATCTCATCTGAATTAAACTGCCTCATAAAGAGAGGAACGACAACACTGCCCTACTACCATAGTAATTGAGTGTGATTCTGTTGTTACAGAAATATGTTGTTTGATTGTGTGATTATTAAGCTCAAAATACAACAATGAAGGCCATATACGACTGCATTTCTGAAGACTTGTGTAACAGAAGGATGGCAAAAAAATTTCCTTTCAAAACTAGATCAGTTTGTGTCTTCAGTTTCCAAATAATTATAAAGTGTTGTTAAAAGAAAAGGTGATGTAACAAAGTAGTAAACATGCTCGTGTCCCAACTTTTTTGGAACAAGCTGCAGGCATCACATTTGGAATGAGCAAATATTTACAAAAAAACAATGAAGTTCAAAAGGTAAAACATCAAATACTGTGTTTTTGTGCCATTTATTAATTTAATACGGGACAAACAATTTTTTTACATTTTTTTTTCACTAATCTCTGCTTTCAGTTTTTATTAGCCTTTAATTTACTGTCTCAACTTTTTTGGAATTGTAGTTCTGGATCAGCATCATTCCAACACATTTCAAAAGTATTGAAGAACTACTCCATAGCCCAGTGCTTGGGGCCTTCATACCCCTCTAGCTAGCGGTTGGTATTGGGCATCTCAGTGCTTTTCTAAGGAGATTATACAAGCTGTGTGTGTGCAATTGAACTCAGGGGTCAGCAATGGGTGCACTTTAAAGTTCTTTTGGACATATAGTGTGCTCCTAGAGAAGATGGTCACTGTTAAAAAACATCCTGTCCTGGAGCATCACCAGCACACATCAACCAATCATACAAAATTACTCAATATTTAATGTGTGGACTACACATTAACAGCACTTCCACAGAGACCTGAATTGCATCTGGCCTTGTCTGATCAGATCTGAAGAGGGTTTATTTGTTCATAGAAT